AGACAAAGATGCTGTGTTCACGGCAATGTGTAATCTGAATCTGACCCTAAAGTGGCCCATGTGGTAAATAGTGAATATGGCCCAAATCGTGCCAACCAAATGTGGGCCACCTTTGGCAAAAATGTAGCACAAATTGAACCAAATGTGGTCCACATTTTGTGGTGCTAAAATATGTTTCAGCAAATGTGGTCCAGGTATATTAAACCGTATCTGGGCCAGTTTTGGCAAAGATATGGCACAGTGAGCACTGGCTAATGTAGCTGTGAGCCTAAAGTGGCCCGCATATAAAATGACAAATATTGCCCAAATAATTAATAACAATTTGGGCCACTTTTGGCAAATATACTGCACAGTAGAGGTCTGCGCGGGACAGTTTTTTTTAGTCCCACTCCCACAAGGTTCTATTCCGCACCCACCCGCTCCTGCTATATATTCACTCTTTGTTCACCCGCTGTCCGCTTAGAATAATTTTCTTCCCGACCCGACCGTTCCCGCTAAATTTAGATCTCGTTTCCAGAATCTCACATTTAAATTTCCGCTACTGAAAGAAAGAGAGATAGGCTGACAAATAAAAGTGTAGTCTGCACAAAATTGTATGTTATTTTATTCGTCTTGTCAAGAGTCTTGAATTTATTGACTTTGACTTGAATTTATATGATTTATCAGGATACAGTCAGGATACAATTCATTTAACATTGACAACACAATAGGGAAAAAGTGTCGCAGAGAGAAAAAAAATAAAAATGGTGGTTGTACAAAAAATAGCCTATTAGCTATTTTTATTCGTCTTGTCAAAATACTAAATTAGTTTGACATTTTCTATTAACACAGTAGGAAAAGTGTCCTCCATCCTTATTCTGCTCTGTCACTCATCGACAACCTACCTGTTCTGTCTGAGGGCCTTATATTTACCACAGGTACAGCCTGCTCTGAGCATCGTTATGCACATGCTGCGCACAGACCACGCAAATAAAACGTGTGACGTTTAAAGCATGAGTGCAGCACGTGCATAACAGTCCTGAGCGCAAGCTGTACTGTGAGTCAATAAGAATAAAGCGCAGATATGCTGTTCTAAATGGACGTCGGGAACGGGATATTGTTAGACCGCCCGCTCCCATTCAAATTACACCAGCGTTACTGACCGCTACCGCATTTTATTCGGGAAATTAATCCCGCGGTGCAAAAAATCCGGTCGGGTCCCGCGGCTGCAGACCTCTACTGCACAGTCAGCATTGGCTGATCAGTGTGTAAGCCTAACTTGTACCACATTTGACATGGCCCATATGCCCCATACATTTTAAAACAGATGAGGGCCACTTCTGGTTTGGATGTAGCACTTGACACTGGCTAATTGAAATGGAAGTTTAAAATTGTAAATATGGCCTAATAGAATTTGGCTACTTTTAGTAGGATGCAACACAGTTAACTGATGCAGAGTGATCTGAATATGAGTCTTAAGAAGGCTACATACCCAGCAACTTATTTTTTGAAACATGCTGTGTGTTTTTTTATGTGTACTGTGCAGCATAAAAACAGAAGTGCAATATAATGATAGCTCTTACTGTCACGGATTCTGTTCATTTGGACATTGTTGCTGTGCTACAGTGTTTGGATTTACCCTTGTTGGATTAAAGACTTATGATATATAGCCTTTCATCTTCGTCGTGCGCTCTTTAACACAGCGTAGTCGTGACACTTACTGACTTACTGTGTAGGTAGAGTCTGAGTGAGAAGCATTTAGGTTCAAACTTGTGAAGAACTGTTTTTAAAGTATTGGAATGTTACTTTGAATATTTCTCTGTGACATTTGAATTGCTGCTTGTGCAAAATTTGGGTCGGGATGATTTTACCAAGTGGGACACATTTCTGGAACTTATTTGAACATTTAAGGTTTATTTGGTATATTAGCTAAAATGTGGCTATGCAGTGGCCTGCTTGTGGACCACTTCCAAAATGCCGCCATTCCATGCAGCATGTGGGCCACATGAGGAATGTGGGGAAGATCAGGGTTAGAATAAAAATCAACTGTGTTGATTTGTGAGTTTTGATACATCAACTGTGAGTTTTGGTTTATTTGGTTGGCTCACATGCGGCAATGCTAATCTATTTATTTATTGTCATGGCTGACATGCAGCCTTCCTATGGCTTGCTTGTGGCCCACATTTGGCAAACAGGAGCGGACCGCACAAGTGCAATCATTCTTCACAGTATGTGGGCCGGAGCAAGGTGTTGGATCTGGGCCAGAATTTAAATCAATGTGGCCCAGATTTGGGCCAGTTCTGCTTTATTTGGTGTATTCATGGCTGACATTGGGCCTTCCTTTGGTTTGCTTGTGGCCCAAATTTGGCAAAAAGGAGTGGACTGCCCAAGTGCCATCATTCCATGCGGTATGTGGGCCAAATTAAAGTGTCAGGTTTGGGCCTGATCTGGACCTCAGGAATTTTGCTATCTGGGATTGCTTTTAAATAAAAATAATATTTAAAAGTTTCATTTATTCTATACATGTACAGTAGAAGACCTCGACAAATTGTTCAGGATCACGCTAAACTTCTGGGAAAGTTTGTTGGAGCTAAACTCTGGAAAGTGGCCCTCCATGAGCAGGACTGAACTCTCCTGACTTGTGAACTCTGTAACAGTCTGGCTTTTGTGTTCCAGGGTCAATGGAAACACAAGTTTGATAAGCAAAATGTCATGAAGTTAGACTTTTACGTCAGCGAGACATATAAGTGTCTAGTCCCCATGATGTATCAAGAGGGGAAATTTAAGTATGCCAGAATCAATGACGACAAGGTGAAGATCCTTGAATTGCCCTACAACGGTGCTGACATCACAATGGTGCTCATATTACCTACTGAAGGTACAACCCTGCCGGAAGTAAGTTGATTATAAACAATAGACAAAAAGCTCTCCTCAAAGATCTCCTCTAGTCTTACCTAACAAAACTGCATCCAATTAAGGTAGTGGAAAACATGAACCTCAAGAAACTTGAGGGTTGGTTACAAGCCATGAAAGAGACCACAGTGGTCATGCAGGTTCCTCGTTTCCGTATTGAGGACAACTTTAGCCTCAAAGAGCAGCTGACGAAAATGGGCCTTGAAGATCTTTTTAGTCCAGAAAACGCCAGTCTCCCAGGTACGCAATTAGTTTGATTGTAGAAATTTTTGCTATTGTTTTGGCTTTAAAATGTTCGAAGGGATAGTTCACCTAAAAAACATGCGGTCATCATTTACTCACCATTATTTTGTTCCAAACTTCTGTTCATCTTCTGTAGAACCTAAAAGCTTCACAAGACTAGGAATGTAGAGCTCAAGTCATATGGACTACTTGTATGGGGTCTTGGCTTGATTGCTATGAAATTTTGCTGTATGGATTTGTGTTCATGGTTGGGGTGAAATCTTGAGTTTAGATGTATCTACACAATATTGTCACGTTGTGTTGCACTAGGGATGGTTGCCGATGATGGGCCCAACTTGTACATCTCCAACGCCTACCATAAGGCCTTCCTTGAGGTAAAATACATTCAATATTGTTTGCAAATTCATGTTTTTATGATTAGCCTGTGTAGCAAGACAGATCACACAATTTCTTAACCAATGGTCTGGTTTTCCAATTTTTCAGGTGAATGAAGAAGGTAGCGAAGCTACTGCTGCCACAGCGGTTGTTGCTACCGGACGCTCCCTAAACATCTTCCGGGAGAATTTTGTGGCAGATCGACCCTTCCTTCTGCTGATCCGTGAGTCCAGCATCAACGCCTTGATCTTTACCGGCCGAGTCGCAAATCCTTGTGGGAGCCGCTAACATGGATTGGATATGGATCCCACACTATGAGGACAGTTATTGATTGTCCTCATTTTCAACTTGACAAGGCAGCCTTGTTTCTTCATTATTGCTTAATAATGAACGTTAAATTTGTCATAATATGTCGTTTTTATCAGTCCACCAAACAAGCACTGGAAACAAGCACATCAAGAGGAACAAAGAGGATTTACAAATGAAAGAAATAAAAGCAATATGTACAGGCACAGAACAAGGATAAAACAAGTTTATTTTGTCATATTAGAAATTTGGGTTTAGCAGTATCACACAATCTGGGCTTACATAATTATACATTTTAAGAACATAATTAAAAATCCTTCACAGTTACACTTAAAGTGCTTTGTTTCTATTTAGAAGAATGGACTTGACACTGCCAGTGAGGAAAAAAAACATAGTGGTTATTGTGAAAATGGCATTCACATTATTAATGCTTAATCTTTCTGATTCCTGTACCATTTTAAATACAAAAAGTCTCGAATTTTAAGTAATTATAAACTGATTAATTTCAAATAAGTGATTATACTTAATCACCTATGAATATAATTTCTAATTTTTTTTTAAAACATTTACTTTTTCAATAAATATATACTGGTTTGCTATTAAAATTAGAGTAACTGATTTCTAAGATAATTCTTATGTTTTGGAATTTGGACCTTTTTAACAATAAAATACCTATTATATTTAGTTTTATTTCATGGTTATGTAAAATAAAATATTTCTAAAGTACGATTTGACAAAGTGATTAACATCGCATAAGGACACATGGAAAGAACTTTACAGACTATATTGCTTTTTGCAAGATAAAACAATATAGCGAGACAAATCATAAAGGTCGATATTTTGGCTTCTCTTGGTGCAAATTTAGATGCCTGGAAATGTCTTTACGTTTGGCCGTTACAAAAGACAAAGACAACATGCAAATAAACAATTTCTACTGAGGGTCAGTAGAAAAACAATGTCTTGTTTCCTTGTATAAAAACTTATTTGAGGTAAGAAAACAACTGACAACTTTTTTTGACAAAGCATCACGTTTGCTTGCTTATTCAGACAGACTAAAAGTCTTGAAATATATATGTCGGTTATTTGCATTGAAGTGTCCTCTTCTGAAATGTGTTGTTTGTACAAAATATTTGCTCCAGAGTGACAAGACTGAACAAACTCTGAAGATATGGCTCAGTGTTATCATTCGGTCTTCCCAAAAAAAAAAAAAACTACTAAGTAGAGACATGCACTGTATCACTTTTCACAAGCTAGACCATGAAAAACAAACAAAAAAACATGAGGTAAATGTAATCTCTGAAACAAATTTATCACATTTGCCAATATGTATAACTGTTTTACAAATCCAGAATACAAATTTTTCTTGTGAAAATCAATTGGGTATCAGTTTCACAACTTTTTAAAAGATGTTGTGTTCATTATGGTGTGTTATAATTCTGCACCACTTTATCTGAAAGACATTTTGGAATTGGAAATGGGGTGAAATATTGCTTCAAAAGTAGTTCCGTTCCGTTTGAAACTACACATTCTGTAACACTGTTAAGATGTTAACATAATTTGGTTAGAAATGACTTGTTCAGTCAATACCATTAAACTGCAGTAGATGTATTGTCATACAAACATTAAATATTACAGCCTAATATATACACCGTAGCAACACATTTATCCTCCGCCATGTTACTTAAAGCTTAAAAACAAATACAAAAGCCAAACATAATATTTGAATTAATAATATTGTTTAAAATAAAAAAGAACAGGCAGGTTGGTCAACCATCGATGTTTTGAGGGTCAACGATAGATATGCACAAAGGGAAAACATGCTGAAAGTTATCATTAGCCCTAAAACCCAAATTAATAGGATTAAATTTAGACTGCTAAAATGTGCAGAGTACAATAACTGGAATGACTGATTACAGATATAGATCCCTTGTTATTAAATTGCAATTAATTCATTCACATAGAGATAATTTAAGTCACTATCACCCTTATATGATTGGCATACACAAAACAGGCCCATGCCCCAAATCTAAATTTCAACTTAAAGGCAAAGTCCATAAAACAAACATCTTTTCTTGATATATTATAACATATTAGATTATGATTATGTTGTTTACAGACAAAATCATTTGCCCTTCTCTATTATCATGAGGTTGCATTTTGACAAATAAAAGCAATATCAACATGCTCGTCTATTTACCTGGGTTCTGCGCTGTACAACAAATGTGACATACAGTTTCAGGATTGTATTTCACTGCAACTGCTTCTGAAGCATAGGTATTTACATTGAGAGGAAATGTTCATATGGATGTCAAATTTCTTTTTTTTGCTGCACTTGTGAAATACTGTATGTCGAGCCAAGTTACCCAGAGCTAGAATTCCAAGTAAGAAAATCTGCTTGGTACAAACCAAAAAAGGTAAACACAAAAAGTAAACAGTGAGTTCCTGATATTTATAAGAAGTGTTTACCTGCTGACCTGTGTTCACAGATGTGAGAAATGGTAAAAGTAAGTTCTAACCTGCGTTTATGAAGTGAGGTGCACAAAATCCCTATTGGAAACATCAGTAGCTGATTTTTATATGCATCAACCCTTTCCTAAAAAAATCAGTCACAACCAAGTGTGATTCACAGCCTTATAAAAATGATAACAGCTTTACTTTCGCTTAAAACACCTTTGCTTTTTGTTGATCGTTCTAGAAACTGTCTCTGAATAGTTATTACAAGTATAAATTTGTCTAAATATGCATAAGTGGCACATGTATATAGATATACAAATATTCTAAAAACAAAACAAAACAAAAACACCCTCTCCCATTCTTTAAGTGCCTGATGTAATCTCTTTTTTCTTTCTCTTCGCCCTTTGAAGATTGAAGAAGGTTTAAGATCTTCCACAATACATTTCAGTTCCTTTGGTTACTGAAAGCTTCAGTAAATTCACGTCATAGCACCAGCTGGAAACATCTGTTCATAAGCCAATGGCCCAAGGTTAAAGTGCCTTCCATCAGATGAAGGGAAATCTTACACTCAAAGTCATTCCGTGGCATTTCGGCATTTCCCAGTCATCACAGACATACGGTTTCTGTTTTCCAAAACAGCATCGACGACCAAGTCCGTGTTCTTAACACAAAAAAGGAAGAAGGTTATGTCCTCAGGGACACCTTTCCCCCTGCTCAAACACATTCTTACAAACAAAATATCGGCAGACCAGTAAAACAATTTGGTGAGACTTGCGAATCTCAACGAGCGACTTCAAACGTATGAAAAGAAATAAACACTGAACATAAAATTCGGCTGAGTGCATCCACACATCTGCGTGCGACAGATCGGTATTGCGTAGTGATGTGAGAGAGAGGTAACTGAGCGGTCTATTGTAGCTTATCTGAGGTTGAAAGATTTCCTGTATTTTATATCACTGTATCGCCAACATTCAGCAGCTGAGTTGTTGAGTTCGGAGATGTATGAAGGCCTTAACGAGAATTAAATGTGAAATAAATACATATGTCACTGCTATACTCTACCTTCGTCTTTTCACCAGCGTGCCTATATCACAGTATTTCCACCAACATTAAAAGTAAAATAATATGACGTGACTGTTTCTTGTTATAAACCCGAAGTTCTATAACTACAATTTCCTTGCGTTGAGGCTAATTGTGAGCAATGCGTTTCGGTTCTATGGCAGGCCGGATCAGCACTTAACACAAAACAAAAAATAAATCAAGAATCTGATGTTAGGTCAGACCTGAGGGTCCCTAATAAAAAACTGAACCTGTTTTCCTAAGCTTGCCATGGCTGGGGAGTGCAAAGTCTAGCCCCAGGTTAATTGATCAAGATTGTCTCAAGGCAAAGTAGCGAAGGACTACGATGTCCTCTCATTTTATAGCTCATCTTCTGGCACAGAGAAGTTTGGCAATTTCGATGCAATTAGACCAAATCATAGCTAGAGCTTCTCTTTTAGTTTATCCTGAAAGGTCTGTAGTAGTACAAAAATATAAAAAAATTTAACATATAAAAGACAGGAAAGACTAAAAACAAAAAAAGAAAACAAAAATCACTGCATCCAGTGGTGTGTGAGGTTGTTGGATTGTGGCTTGTCTTCATATAGTGATGTCCTGTTCAGTTTGTATGGTGAAGGTAGATGCGGTTTAAAGCGGAAATACCATTTATAAATCCCTAGAGAATACTATTCTTAGCAAATTGTTCCTTGCATCTTTGTTATCACTGGAAAAAAATAGAGGTTCTCCATCCAAGTAGGACGCAGAAGACTCTCTCTTATTTTATCCGTTCCTCATTGACAGCAGCTGAGAGAAACTCCTGCTCACTCAACTCCTTCCAACTTGCAATTTCAGTGTGGATGGTGGGAGACAAGGGACAGAGGGAACTCTCAACAGAAGGTCCTGCTGGACCCCGCTGTCCTGTGTCTCCCTAAACTTGTAACGTTTTCCTACAAAGCCTTTCAGTCGGGCCCAGTGGTGGATACCGAAGGTTGGACCCCTTCTCCGAAGGACGAGCCGGCACCTCCCCCTCCACCATTGCCCTCGGCATCCTCCTGTGAGGGCGACTCATCTTCGTTTTGGCCTCCACGGGAGGTGACCGTGGTGGTCTCGGGCGAGGCACTGTGGGACACCTCCTGTGGGGTGCAGCCTGGATGGTTCTTGCGGAAGTGCTGGTTGAGGATTGCCTGGAAAGGGAAGCTCTTGCCACAGACGTGGCAATGGAAGGGCTTGTTTCCTGTGTGCTTACGGATGTGGTACTCGAGTTGGTCCTTGCGGGTGTACTTCTTCCCGCAGATTCGGCAAACGAAGGGGGTAATGCCCATGTGCAGGCGCATGTGGCGATCTAGGCTGCCCTTCTGGTTGAAGGACTTGCAGCAGTAAATGCAGGTGAGACGGGGGTTGTAGCGGAACCACCGGTCACCTACCTGTTCTCGTAAGTACTCCTCATATCCCCCCATGTCAAACACGGCTTGTTCCTCTCCCTGATAAGGGAAAGGTGAGAGGTTATGGTTTGTTTTCATGACTCCCAGCCCTTTTCCAAATTTAAATGCACTCTAAGTTAGGCACACCACCTGTTCTGAGTCTTATGCAACTGCAGGCAATTTAAAGCTTCTTATTTGCTCGGTAAGGTGTGTACCACTGATATTCTTTGAAACTACTTCAACTGTGTTCAAAGATCATAAAAAGTTAAACCAAGGGTTGTAAGTGTATAGGGCCAAGTCTTGATCAAGTCTTAAGCAGGGCTGAAAATGGGGGGGATGCGGGGGGACGGAGTCTGGGGAGTGAATTTCGAGGGATACGGCGTTTCATTTCCAACTGGTTAGGTTTATTTGGAAATTAAAGTGATTTCTATATTTTATCCATTTAAAAGACTACGAAAGCAATCCCAGTTCTGCACATAAACCTAGGGCAATATAGAGTAAAAACGTAAAGGGATATTTGTGTCTATGGTTTGCTGCGGGCACTGCCGTCTTTTGTGATTGGCCATAATACCTGCAGACTGCAGCCAATGGAAATGCTTCTCTATCGGTGCGTGTGCTGCTCCTCACAGCACAGATCGTGAAAGCTGACTGCAGTTTTTGTCATTCATTATAAGTGTAGAGACGATGTAAATAATAAATTCAGTGTGCAGTGTAGAGAGCTTCATTAATTATCGCGATGAACTAAGAGGAGTGACAGAATTTTAATGATTATAAAGGGAGTTTGCAAATGTGAAATTCAATTTATACAACATTTTTATACATTTTTGATTTTATAGGCTACATGAGTTAATTTTAAGTGACTTACATTTTAGGAACACTGTTGTCTGATTATGCTCTATTTCCTCAACTAAAATAATTCCAAACAAATCACAGCTGAGCTGCTGCGCATCTCCAAGCATACACAGCGCTGTTTCGTTTATGAATGAATCTGTGTTTTCGAACAAATCTAGTGAGTCACAAAGGGAGTCAATTGCTTTGTTCCTAAATGAATCAGCCATTTGAACGAACTGATTGAATTAATGATTCAGTGACAAAGACAGTGACTTGCTGCCACCTACTGGTGGTTTCAGTTTCATTTTAAAGTATAAATTGAGTCATTTAAATTGTTTAATATTTCTACATTCAAAACTTTATATTTAAAACATTAATTTCATAACATTGTTATTATGAAATACATTAATGAGTCTTGTCAAAAAGTCTGTAATGCCACATCTGTGCTCTTCTGTGCCGTGCAAAGATGAATTGTTGATGCTGATTTCATTTGACTAGTAGGTTAACTTATTCTTCCTGATTGTATCTTATTATTTTAATTGAATTTATTGTTTAATTAAAATTTTTGATACGTTTATAATTCAAAAAAAAATTTGGCACAAAAGATGTCGTACATTTAATAAAGTTAGAGGCATTACAAAGGTTTTTGTTTTTTTTTACTTTTAAGGAGTCAAATATCACCTTATAATAGGAAGGTTAATTTCTGTCATTCATTAGAAGGTGTTCCTAATTTTAATTTTTTTTTTTAAGTAGGAGCACAAGTGCTCTTGAAAAGAAATGTAAGCGGCGTAGAGAATGTAATGTTACCTTTTAAAAACTAATTGCAAATGTTTGTGCAAAGTGTAAACTATTAAATATAATCTACAAATCATGCAATACTGTACCACTAAATAGGAAGTGTTTTGAGGGCTTAGCTAAACAGGCCAATTAGAGACAATTACTAATCATTAAGATTTTTTATTAAATCATTCTTTCATTTCACTAATCAATCCTTTTTTTCTTTTCTTTTCTTTTTAAATTAAACACAAGGGGTCATTAATGATGCTTACATTATAACATGTGCAAATTCACACACACAACATATCTTTAATATGGCCAGAATTGCCAGAATTGTCTTAATATCCAAGAAGGTTTAGAGAAAATATGAAATAAGTTTAACGTTATTATAGATTATAAAGGGTTTTATAATTAAATACATCTGAAAGGTAATCTAAAATTACCATGATTAAAATTATTAAAATGAATAATTTTATTAAAAATAAAAATTTGAATAAAAAAAGCTAGAGTCCCCCCAGTGAATTTTGGCCATTTCCACCACTGGTCTTAAGGTTGCCCTACCTGTGAGGTAGGGTGTCTCTGATCGTCAGCTCTTCCTGGAGACTCACTCTTGGCTCTCTGGCGATCAGCCATCACAACCACACTTCCTGTTGGACTAAACCTGAAAGAAAACAGTATGGGTTCAATCTTTTACAGGAACCTTGTTGGCAGAAGAAAATGGGTTACTGGGGTAAATGCAGCACATCTTAAAGTATCACACCTGGATTATCTAAACCTTATAATCAAAATGAAATGACATTTGCAACTACATCCAAAATACATCCAATTCAGTGCAGAATGGTAAAATACAGGACTGACAACCATATAGTGCTGCTGTGTGAACGTGGCGTATATGGTATCATCCAGTACTGACTGGATAATGTAAATGGTTAAAGGGGACGGGTTGAAAAGTAAGAAGGCTTGGTGACATTAGCTGAAATGTGGAGAAAGGCATTACATTTCGATAAAAGACCATTAAAACAATTTCATCATAATGAACTGAAGAATTATGTGCAATAAGATTTTGCTTTAATTTTGAGTGAATGTGAACTTCAGAAAGATTACACACCTCTCTGTTTCGCTGAAGCTACTGGACGGCTGGGAGCTTTTCCCACCCCTTCCTCCTTCCTGAACCAGTGTGCTACGTCCTGAGGTGTCAATCATCACCGTCGGCCCCTCCTCTGCCCCACTGCCCTCCTCCGCCGATGCCTGGGTCTCCGCCCCCATCCACTCATCCATCCTTTCCGTCTTAATCCGAAACCCATCCACCATCCGCACGTTCTCCTCTCCGCCTCTCTCCACCTCAGTCCCCGTCTCGACATACCACTGCCCGGCTCGGTTAATACGGAGAATGGGCTCTTTCCCAGTTCCCACCTCCTCCGAGCCAATGCCACTGTGCTCCACTATCTGGGGGCTCATGGACTCCCCAGGGGGACTGATCTCTCTGACTTCCCTCACATCACGGATGTTGATCACCCCAGTGTTGCCAATCAATCGGGAACTGGTATGTCTGGGACTTAGGGAGCGGGACCCACCAAGCCCGGTCCCACCTCTTCCTGACTCAAAGGTTTGGTTGGCGGTCCTGTGGGCCCCGTTCCCAAGCTCCTCTTCCACATCTGACAAACTGATCTTAAAGTGGATTCCCTCTAAAATCTGGGTGCAACGGTCAATAATGTGCTGCATCTGAAGGAAGCTGGCAGCCGTCAGGTAGCTGATGATATCGGCGAGCTGCAAGCACAAGCGTCCTGTGTAGCAAAATGAAAGGAGTTGCTCGAACACGGTTGGGTTGCGGATCACTGATATGGAGACGGTGCTCATGTCGCTCAGTGACATGTGGTCCCTGAAGTAGGGGGAGCTGGCGGCGAGGACCACCTTGTGGGCACGAAAACTGTGGCCCTGAACATTGACCACGATATCACATAGACGGCCCTGTATTCGCAACTGGTTCAGATGCGACAGGACGGAGTTGCTGAAGTCCGGAATATCAAGTTGGATGCTTCCTGCTCGTTCCATGCGGGCTGCCTATTGCGCTGCTTTTCAAAGCTGCTGACAAAAAAACAAGAGATGTAACAGTGGGACTTTCTGAGCATGTCAGAAATAAAAACCACACAACAAGACAGAACAATCAGCATTATTAGCAAACAATGTTAAATATATTTTTAAAAACCCAAATACTTCCTCCTATCCCAACTTTAAACACAGAGACAACAACAAGAAAACCATTCGTAGGCTGATTCCCACAGAAAGTGTAAACATCGTCACTTTGTGGTGTGACTTTAGGGTTGGAACAATGGCTGACAGGGGAGTTTTCTGAAACCTGTTTTAAAAAACATTATTTAGCTGCATTCTGATTCACAGGGACTTTACTTACTGTTCAGCACCTTACACACTCGGCAGGGGATAGAGGTTCACTTCACCTGACAAGATTTGGTCATTTCGAACACTCAGTCACAGTGTCACAGATAACAACACTAGAGTCTGGTAGATATTTTAGAATTTTTTTTTTTTTTATATATTCATGTATATAATAACTAAATACAGTATTATGTATTCAAATAAATACTTAATTTAGCAATAAATGACTGATGTTCAAAATGAAAATGTGACTTCTTCTCGGTAATCACATCTCGCTTTGCACGCTCAAAAACAGCATAAAAAGCACTTTTTTTCCATTACCCTGAATTAAAAAAAAACAATCACATTTCTTTTAGCCAAACTTTTTCTGTGTCCAAAATCCCATTCTATCAGAGTATGTACTTTATTTGATAAATAATTGACTAGTGGGACCAATATTCTTGGTACCTATATAGCACTTACATGTGGAAAGAGCCACCCGGCTCATCATTTTTATTTTTATTTGTCAGCTTTTCTGAATCTGACAGCTCCTCAGCTTAATAGGTCTTATGGGACAGAAAAGTTTCCTGGCTGTACACCTTACAATGTCAGCAGATGCAATCCGTCAGTTTGGATATTGCTCGCCTACCATTTCATTATTACTGCATATTTAGCCACAATGTTCATTTGTAATGCTATAGGGAAGTGCACATATTCAAGGTGGTACAAAATGGCTTGTGGGTAAATTCCTCTCTTCAACTTCCTGTGAAGTCATATGCCGATGTACACTTGTTCCCTAAGCAGTTTGCAGTGCAAACACTTAATTACTTAAAGTGGCCACATTTCCAGAAGTCCACTTTGCACGATGTGATTGAGCAATTTAAACATACCCACCCATTAATTTGCAAAAATCACACACTTTGTCTATAAGAATTGACACTGTTTTTGTAACACTTTAGATTACAATGTAACATGTTGAAAAGCTACAGAGCAAAATTATGGATAGCTAAATTAATGGGTTAACAAGAGCAATTACATCAACCTGTTTAATAAAGCTTATGCCGTTACAAGCAATTTCAATATTTTTTTTTATTATTAACATTCAAAATAACATTAAGTTACGTAATTACATAGTAGCATTGCAACAATGACAATGTAATGTAAAGTATTACCCAATTTTCTTTAAGAAAGTTAGATTTGTAGTGAGATGCAAATTGTTTACCTCACCTTTTTAATAACAGGCACAAAAATCGCTCCACTATATTTTTCAGCACACTTGCACTTCTTTGTGGCTACAAACCACAGCTGTTAGAGAGCAAAGTAGTCATTTTTTCATTGCATGGGTCAGTAGGATTGATTCGCAGTGTTACTTTGTCTCTCTCTGTTTTTGACATAGTATCGGCCGACGGCGCAGGGTAGCTGTAACCGGCGGCGTGGCACCTCAGTTCGGGTCCAGTAACACACTGCAGCGCGGTGATGCGATGAAGCCTAACCGAAAAACGCGCACACACCCCGGCGCAGAGCAGGCAGGGAGGTGCCTTACCCCAGTCCACGCCAAATTTATAGATATAACAAACAGAACACCAAAATACGATATTCCTTTTACGACAGCCTGTTCTGAGTGATTTGGCGTTGAATTTCCCCCATTTTACGACCACTATTTATCGTTATACTTATCGCCAGGGATTCTGCTGTCGCTTTCGGTTCCTCCGCCGCTCTCATATTCCCCCATGTATAACATGAGCCAATGTACAGAATATGGCATTCTGGGAAATGTAGTTCTGTCGCACCACAGCCATAGCAACCAAAAATTGAGAAATTCCGCGAAAGGGACTCACGCTCCCATGATGCTTTGCTTTACCATCGCTGTGAAAGTGGGTAAAGATTTTGGTTGCATTTTTTGGTGACAGTTTTTTCCTCTATTGTATGTGTGAAGGAATATATAAAGATATAAACAAAGAGGTATTTACTTACTGAAATACTGTAAGCAGTTATAAATATTAACATGTTGCATTTTATGAATAAATTACATAAATGTAAAAGAAAGTCTTGTTGCAGGGCAATGCAGGCCCATTCCATGACATCAATAAAACTGAACCCAATGAACCCATGAAAAAAATAGTAATGTGTCTTAACTAACAAACTGATATAATTATCTATTATTCATACCTTACCATCCGTGATTTGCATTGTATTCACACAATGAAGTTTTAAGTGTATTCAAATTATTGTATTATTATTGTATTATTATTATTATGATTATTATTATTATTGCATGTTATAGTTATATTGTCATAGCTTTGGTTCACTGAAGAAGAAAAAACACGTTTTCATCACTGAGTTATAGAGACATCTTTGTTCCCAACAATTTAACTTGTTACAATAATTTGAGTAATTTCTACATTTGATATTATGAATTTCAGAGTTTGAATAGCCTATCAGAGTTTCAAATAGAATTTCTTCGTCAGTAATCAAATCATAAGCGATAGGCTGCAATTAAACTTTTCAATTTTAGTGAGTTGATTTTTTTTCCAGTCTATTATAATAATAATACTAGATCATTAAAAAAGGATTTTATCATTTAGGAAAAGGATATTATGCGGCACTGCATTTCCTATTTGTGTGTTTGTAAGCAAATGGGTAGTTGATTCATAACATATTGATGAATCAGCATCTAGATTTTAGATTTAAATATATATGGATGTATAAAGGAAAGTGTGCACTGGGAAATTACACACATAAAATTAAAAAAGCAAATTGCTTACAGTAGCAGTATCATGAAGTAATGTCGTGAAACTGAATGTGTCAGAAAGCCGTAATATGATGCCATACATTTAAATGTAAACCTGTATTTTCAGTGTAAATATGTACATATATGCAATTTTTAAGATTTGCGAGTGGTTTATTATCATTTATGAAAATGAAAAGCTAAAGATGCCATTTTAACAGTTGTCCAGTAGGTGGCGGTCTTTACTTATATATGAGAATTGTTTGCTACTGTGAAGAAATCAGAATTATACTTACATTGCATTTTATTGTCCTTAGTGCTCTTCAGGAATTTATAATTTAGTTGCATATATAGTCATATTATTTATACAATTCTATTTACAGCTACATTGGAGTTCAAGGTTTGAGACCACTTGTGAAAATGCTTCTATTTCGCTTATTTATAAATGTACAAATTAATTACGGATTAATAATTTTTAATAGCAAATCATATCACCACCAAAATAATTTGAGTTTAATAATTAATTACTGAAATAACTGACATGAAAAATTAAGATGAATTTCAGTAGATCTCTCTTTTCTCTAATGACAGCAGCACTTAAGCAGATGTGTTTTACATATTGAGCTTCAAAGAAAAAAAAACATTTGAACTTTTTGTACATAAAGTTTTTTAAATTTATTCTCAGGTTTAAATTTGAAATTTGATTCTGCATTGCAGATTTTAGAATTGGTTCTCCAGCTTTTGGAACCAATTCTAAATACTAAGCAAAACATTTAAATGTAATTTTAAATGAAAACAAATCACAACTCTTGATTGCTTTTTCTTCAACAATATTTATTAACAACTAACAGAACAAAAACACATGGACTAGATGTTACAATGTGCAACACTGAACAGGGATAAAACTGGCTCATGAATTGATTGTATATATGAGGAACAGATGGATAAATACAAGCCTGTACATTGATTCTGTTATATCGTGACATGCCAACAGAAAATTCACATAGACTTTAATCTTAAATTCTCCAGATCTTTCCATCCCATCAAATTAACTTAATTAGAGTTGAGCCATGCAACCCAGCAAAGACAAAACTACCTCTTGCAGGATAGATCAATGTGCACGAGCTATGATACATGGCATACTATCAAAGTAAAATAATAAAATATATTTACAATTCATTAACACAACACTTAGTTCCATCCCTCCAAGTTTCAAATTTATTGGAACTGTTTCAATATAAATTAATACTGGCAGCTAATGTACATGCACACTCACTACAACAACAGTTTATTTGTTGAAAGGTGAAGAAAAACAAATACATTTACAAAATACATTCTGGATCAGGGGCAAAATAACATCCTAATACCAAATAGTGTTAACTCAAAGAAATACAAGTACCTTTCGACTGCATTTCTTCAATTTAATTCCAAAAATGTAGTACAAACAACCATAACAAGCTAGTATGTTTCACATCAATCCATTTTAGACAGAGTCAGTAAAGCCTATGTTGGTTCTCAAGGAGCAATTCCCAGAAAAGTGCTTGTCTACAAGTTTCCATTTGACAGGGATAAAAAAACTGAATAATGGTTGGTTAAGTGCTTCCCTAAGTTGCAGAAAAGTTCAGGCGATCTGTCAGGAATTGCAGAAGACGAAGTTTTTAATGTAGGCGCAAGCCAAGACTTCCAACAAATCCTGGTTTCTCCCAGCCTTCCGCTACCATTAAGGATCACAAACAACGAAGACGCCAAACAAACACACTCACTTGCACACACACTCGAGACGTAAATGTACACAAAAAGTCCCTTTAAGAAGAAGAGGTGATATTCCCAGAAGACACTATGGTTTCCCTGGGCGAGCATTCGGGCTCGTCCTTATTGGGGTGGGAGGAGTTGTCCGACTTGCTCCTGCTGAACTCGGCGCCCATGATGGGCCTGGAGAACTTGCCCGCCGCTTGGTCGCAGACGCCGCAGTTGAGCATCTTGATGAAGGCCCGGCGCATCTCGTTGCTGGTCAGGGTGTAGATCAGGGGGTTCATGGCGGAGTTGAGCACAGCCAGAGCCAGGAACCACTCGGCCTTGTAGAGGATCGGGCAAGTGCGGATCTGGCAGGCCACATCAAGCAGAAGCAGGATGAAGAGTGGCGCCCAACACGCGATGAAGCAGCTCAACACGATGATGACGGTCTTCAGGAGGGCCATGGACTTCTCCGAACTCTTGTTGCTGCAGCGGCCATTGGCGACCTTGCGGAAGACCAGCTTGCGGCTCCGCGTGCGGACCAGGGCGTAGATGCGGGCGTACAAGATGACGATGGCCATGAGGATGACGCTGAATACGGTGGTGCAGAAGAGGATGTAGGTCTTGTGGTAGAGGGGCAAAACTGTGGAGCAGTTGTTCATGCTCTCGATGCAGTTCCAACCCATAATTGGTAAACCGCCCAAGATGGCAGCGATGAACCACACGGTGCTGATGAGCATAAAGACCCGGCACGTCTTGCCATTGTTATGGAGCTTCATCTTCAGCATGGTCAGGTGTCGCTCGATAGCAATGGCCAAGAGACTGAACACCGAAGCGGCCAGAGCCACAAACATACTCCCTTCCCTGAAGAACCACTGCGTTGGGGTCAACTTATACGTGTTGGCTCCTGACAGCAAGATGTTCGCAGTGTATACCACCCCGGCCAGCAAGTCTGACAAGGCCAAGTTCCCGATGAAGTAGTACATGGGCTTGTGGAACTTCTTGGTCCTCCAAATGGTGAGGAGAACCAGAACATTTTCCAGGATGATGAAGCAGCACACGATGATGAAGACAACAGAGTCCGCTCTGAGTCCCGGGTCCTTGTCGACCTTGCGAAATTTCCCAGTGAAGTTGTAGTGTCTGGCGATTAGGTCATCCATGGTTCGCAGTGGCTTGATAGTTTTAAATCCAACGTGCAACCCACCACAGGCCACAGAGGGGTGC